GTAGTGGTGGTAGTGGTAGTCGTAGTCGTCGTCGTAGAAGTAGTCGTCGTCGTCCAGCAGCAGCACAGCACTCGCAGTAGTAGGCGCGTTGACGTAGAAGTCCTGGCAGACGTCGTCGTCTCGTAGCAGCAGCAGCAGTAGCACTGGCCGTGGCAGTCGCCGTCCCGAACTCAGCATCCCTAATGTGGTGTTTGTGGTTGTGCGGCCGTCGCTTTCACGATGTCCATGTTTATGGAGTTTATGGATCATGTTCATGTTCTTCTATTGCCATTGAAAGCCATGAATGTCAAAGTTTCGTCAAGATTCCAGCCAACATAGCTTTTCATTGGAATTTAGCGTGGAGTGACTCCTATTCTGTCTTCCGTCCTGAGATTTCCCAGGCTGATCCTTATCATGCCCGACACCTCGCCACGCGGCGAGGGTGTGCCGGACGAGGATACCTTCGACGTAGGCGTGGGGGCCAGCATCCCGGCCCAGAGATCCAGCATGATCTAGCTACGTCGCAATAAGTTCTTCCGGGGTTTGGGTTGAGGGGATTCTGGCTCGGGGCTTCGTGAGTCTTCGGGGTTGCTGTGGTAATGGGCTCTAAGTCCTGAATGTTCATGTGATGGTTCGTAGCACTGGAGCTTTGCTGCTTGTGGCAACAAAGGCTACTACGTCAATGCCACGACAGACAAGTACAAGCAACCTGGCTCCATTTGATACTTCCACACAATCAATTCTAGCAGTTTCTAGCAACATTGAAGAGCGAATGGGTAGACAAATCCGACTGCAACTGCTGCTACTAGTGAATGTCTTTCATTATCACCGAAATTGGACTGGGTTGTGCTGCGTCATTTTGAAACATGAGTAGCAGCTTCAGAACGGAGCCTGTTGCGCATGGTTTCGGCTAGTCTAGCCTGCTGCTTCGTTTCGCATGGTGCCCAGGAAACACTACAAGATGCTGGACTACCTCACGCAGGACTGTCGAAGTAGCAAGAAGAGAATATGAACCAGTGTCAGGGCTTAGCCGCTGAATGTCTGCATTGTGGCGTTGTGAACCTTACGGACACTACAAGTTTGCAACGCGAATGTCCACCCTGAATTTTCTGTATCTTTGGATTGTAGGCGTTGCGAACTTTCAGGATACCACAAGTTTGTAACAAGAAGGTCCACCCTGAAGTTTCGGTATTTTTGTAATGTATGTGCTGTGAACTGTAAGGACACTATAAGTTTGTTATCGCGAAAGTCCACCCTGAAATTTCTGTACGTTTGTATTGTTGTTGGTGTGAACTTAAGGGACACTATAAGCTTGTCACGCGAAGGTCCACCCTGAAATTTCTGTATCTTTGTATTGTAGGGGCTGTGAATTTTGAGGACACTAGAAGTTTGGAACGCGAACGCCCGGCCTGAAATTTCTGTATTTTTGTATTGTAAGCGTTGCGGTTGAGAACTTTAATGACGCTGAAACAAATTGTAACACGAACGTCCACCTGTAGGCGTTGTGAACTGTAAGGACACTACAAGTTTGTAGCGCGAACGTCCACCCTGGATTTTATCTTTGTATTGTACGTGCTGTGAAGTTTAAGCACACTCAAAGTCTGGATCGCGAACATCCACCTCAAAGTTTCTGTGTCTTTGTATTGCGCCGTTGCGAACTTTAAGGACACTATAAGATTGTAACGCGAACGTCGACTCTGAAATTTCTGTGTCTTTTTTTGTAGGCGTTGTGAACCGCAACGACACTACTATAAGTTTGTAAGGCGAACATCCACCCTGGAATTTCTCTATTTTTTGTATTGCAGGCGATGTGAACTTTAAGGATACAAATTTGTAACGCGAACGTCCACCCTGATATTTTTATGTGTGTTGTAGGCGTCGTGAACTTTCAGGGACACTATACGTTTGTACCGCGAACGTCCACCTCATTTCTGTATCTTTGTACATGCCCACCTTAATTATGTCTGTATCTTTTGTGTTGTAGACGTTGTGAACTGTCAAGACACCGCAAGTTCATAACGCGAAGGTCCACCCTGAAATTTCCGTGTCTCTGTATTGTAGGCGTTGTGAACTTTAAGCACACTATAATTTAAGTTTGTAACGCGAACGTCCACCCTGAATTTTCTGTATCTTTGTATTGCAGGCATTATGAAACTGAAGGACACTATAAGCTTGTAATGCAAACGTCCGCATTGAAACTTCTGTATCTTTGTATTGTAGGCGTTGTGAACTTTAATCACCTTGTAGGTTTGCTGCTGCTGCTGCTGCTGCTGCTGGTGGTGCTGTTGCTGGTGCTGGTGCTGGTGCTGGTGCTGGTGCTGGTGCTGGTGCTGGTGTTGGTGTTGGTGTTGGTGTTGGTGTTGTTGTTGTTGTTGGTGGTGGTGGTGGTGGTGGTGTAAGCCTCTCGGCTCAGGCAAGGTCAGGCCAGTACAGCGCCTCTTCCTTACATGCTATGGCATTTGTCAGCACCTGAGCCGCCCCGGTCCCAAGTCCGGGAGGGAGCATTCGAAAGTTACAAAGATTGATAGGCTGCCAGTGGTGAGGGTTGTCGGTTTGAGCAGCCGGCAGGAGCTGTGCCCCAAGCGAAACAGGACAGTGATCTGACCCACGGTCATCCCGCTGCATGTGAACAAAATTTTGTTGTTGTTGTTGTTGTCGGCGTTGTTGGTGTTGTTGGTGTTGTTGTCGTCGTCGTTGTTATACAGGCATGTAAATCTCACATACATGTGTCTTCGGCCCGTCAAACCCCTCCAAAGGGACGACAGTATCTGAGCAACGGGGGAGAAAACGCTCGACATGGATTTGATTAGAGTATTGAAAAACAAGAGCAAACCCTTCGAAAAGGACGAGTGTTTGGGAAACAAGAGCGGAACGCTCCAAGCAACTTCGAGTATTTTAGGAACAATAGCAAACCCGCGCAGAACGGACTAGAGTATTTGGAAAGCAGGAGCAAACCGCTCGCAAGGACATAGACTACCTCCGACATAGACTACCTCCAAACCGCGCGAAGGGACTAGAGCATTCGACTAGTACGGGGAATCCGCCCGAAAAGGACCAAGTTATTTGAGAAACAGAACGGAACCGGTCAAAAGGAACTAAAGTATTTGAGAAACAGAAACAATCAAAAGGGACTACGTAGGGGATCAAAATATTTTTGTTGAAAATGAACAAACTGCGCGACAATTACTGGAATATTTGAGAAGCAAGCCCGTTTGAAAGGGACTCGAATACCTGAGAAACAGGAGCAAACCGCTCGAAAGGAGAAACGAAAGCAACCCCGAGGCCAGGGGTTAGGGTATCTGAGAAACAGGAAGAAATCGCGCAACTGGGACTGGAACAGTCGAGAAAAATCGGAAACCGTTTGAACGGGACTAGACGTTTTGAGACACAGGGAGCAACCGCTCGAAAGCGATGTCAGTATTTGAGAAACGAAAGCAAACCCGTTCGAAAGGGACCCGAGTATCTGAAGAACAGGAGCAAACCGTTTGAAAGGGAGTCGAGTACTTGAGAAACAGGAGCAAGCCCCGCAAAATAGACCTGAGCATTCGAGAAAAAGGTTGCAAGCCGCTCGACAGAGTTTAGAGTTTTTGAGAGCCAGAAGCAAACCGCTCGAAAAGGACTAGAGCGTTTGAGAAAAAGGAGAACAAGCCGTTCGAAAGCGACAAAAGTCTACGAGAAACAACAGCAAGCCGCTCGAAAGGGATGAGAGTGCTTGACAAAGAGGAGGAGACCGTTCGAAAGTGAACAAAGTATGTGAGGAACGCAACAACCAAGCCACTCGAAAGGGACGAGAGTTTCTGAGAAAACCGCTGCTCGAGTATTTCATTTCATAAACAGGAGCAGTCCGCTCGAAAGGTATTTTCGCACTAGCAAAGCGCTCGAAAGGCACCCGAGAATGTGTGAAGCAGGGAGCACACCGCTCGAAAGGGACTAGGGGATTTTGAGAATTTGAGAAACACGAGCAATCCGCTCGAAAGGGGCTAGAGCGTGTGAGAAACAAGAGTGCAAAACGCTCGAAAGCCATCAGAGGCTTTAGAGAGATTGAGAAAACGAAGCAAGCCGCTCCAAAAGAAGACAAAAGAGCAAACCATTCTAAAATGACGGCAAACAAAGAGGACTAGAGCAGTCCAGAAAGAAAGGGAATCCGGTCGAAAGAGCCTAGAGACTAGAGTGTTTGAGAAAAAGAAGCGGTTGGAGCAATCTACAGCTCGAAGGGAACTAGAGTCTTTAGGAAGCAGGCAGAAACTCCTCCAAAGGAACTTCTGTCGGTGCTTTCCGATAAAAGTACGTTCCCGTGTTTTTTCTCCTTCTCGTAGTGTCCGTTGACATCATGGCTGACAAGCTCATGACTGCAGTCCTGGACCTTTCGGCACAAAGTGGAACCTGGCGGGAGCAATACGTCCTCTGTGAACTTCTGATCTTAAACGATCACACTCCAAACCCCAACCCTTGCACCTGGTTCTTGTAGTCCACAAACCTGCCTTCCCTGCATCCCATGACTCCCAAGCCAAATCGGGTATATTATGGAGGAGCTGCCCAGCGCTCTAGTTGCAAAGTTGCCGCCTCCCGACTGACAAACTTTAATTCCTTGGTTCGCGCTAGGAATCTCGCAGCTCGGATGCGGGTTTTGGGGTTTCAAGTTTCAGGTGTCAGCCGCCACAAGCATTGTTGCGGAAGCTGGTACTTCTAGATGTTTCGCTCTTTGCGGTTTCTGGAAAGGGAAACCAAAAGTTCTTCATCCGCATGGACAGCCCTGGATCCACGGCTTGTCATCCGTACGAGCATGGGAGGTTCAGATGGGTTTGCTGAGTCAGATGGCAAGGCTGCCATACACCTGGAAAAAGCATACTATATACATATACATACCTATATATGTATCTGTGACTATGCGTGTATATATATATACATACACATATATTATGTATCATGTATTATATACAGGTACAAGTATACACGGTTGCATTGCATTCATGTGTTTGCGCACGCATGTTTGCAGCATGTTGGCGAGGTAGGTAGGTAGGTAGGTAGGTAGGTAGGTAGGTAGGTAGGTAGGTAGGTAGGTAGGTAGGCAGGAGGAAG